AGCTACTCTGTAGTTCAGTGTCATCATTTGCACAGTGGACAGCTCTGCAACCATAAAATAGTGCCCAGACTATAGAAAGTAGTCAATAAAAGTTAGTTGTCATGGTGGAGTCTAGATATCAAAGCACAGTTATGTGATGAAGAGAATCTGTGGTTTTGTTACAGTGATGCTACTATTGTTTAATAGGCACCATTAAAACTAGAGGGATGCGATCCGCTAGTGAAACCTGGTGAGATATAAGAAGAAAACTAATGAAGGAGCTAGGAACCATAAGGTCATAAATATAAACTTGTGTGGCAACCCGGGGCCCTTACAGGACGGAGTAAGGGGGAGACCACTCTGGTGAAAGTTTAAAAAGAAACAGGGGTTAAGTCTCAGCACTCTCACTGCTTTGGCCTGAGTTCAGTCCCCACCAGGAGCTGACCCATATATGGCTCAGCAGACCTCTCTTGTCTTTCACTGCATGCATGGCGTAAGAAGCTTTCAGAAATGAAATTTGGAGGATGTAATTGTAAATGGAGGAGAATTAAGGTGACAGAGTGGGAGGAACACATTATAACCAGATTGCTCTCTGAGCAGCAGAGGCCAAGAAAGGCCAAAGCAGACACTGGGCAGAGGGTAAAATGATAATGGCCCAGAGCTGTGACAAGGTAGCTGAGCTTTAGACAGAGACTGGTTTTGTGAAATATGCTATCAACAATAAAACACACTAAGCAGAGACAAAATTATTCTGCCAGAACCATAGTAAGTGATGGCACAGAGTGGGCAGAAACCATCTCATTCTTAATTTTGCTTTCCTATTTCTCACTAAAGCAGCCTCAGCATGCACTGTGATAAGACCTGAAGACCCAACTAGGCAGAGACCATGTAGCTTCTTTAAATTTGTTTAAGTGATCAGCTAGATCAAAGTGAATTCTGTCCCTTGGCCCTGAAGTACTTTATAGATGAAGTGAGAGAATGCGGCTGGTCGTGTGTTGGCGACATCACAAGCAACAGCGTTAAACTGCAGGAGACAGGCAGCTGCTGATCCTGGGCCTCACAAAGATGGATTTAGCTGAGGTGGACCTGGCACTCAGGAAACTCTCTGGATCCATTCTGGACTGGATTCTTAATTCTTGGCCTTGAGCAATGGTTCACAGGAGGAGACTGGGTACTGGAGAGAGCGGGCCTCATGAGATAAGACTTGGGCTCAGCACCACAGACAGAGTGCGTGGGCTTCCCCAAGCATTCAAGAGTGGCTGGGCCCCCTCTGTGAGGGGATGGCGACATGCAAAGAATGTTACCAGAAAGGTTTGTCCTTGACTCAATAGCAACTATGTTAATGATGTTGATTAATTTTCCTCATACTTCTCTGCTTGGCTTATTCTGTTCGATATTTTTTATTTATTCTGTTTAAATCAATGATTTACATAAAGATGAAGGCAATATTTATCAGCTTTGCAAATAATCAAAGTTTAAAGGTACCTTGACAGGTTAGAATGTCTCCATGAAATTTAAGAAGAGTAACAAATTTTCCAAAAGGATAAAAAGGGGAAATACTGCTTTAAAAGTCTTGAGGCATTTCCACTCAGTGTGAGTTATGAGTTTATGAGTCATAAGTGATTTTCCTCTAATTCCTAAGAGTCAGTGATTTCATAAGCATTAATAATACTTAAATAGCGACTGCAACAGCAACAGCCACAACAAAAAATAAAAACAAACCAAAAGGTCACTGCTTCTTTTGGCTAGCTCAAGTACATAAGTAAAAGATTTTTAAAGTTGTAATATTTCCAAACACCATTCCAATAACACTGTGATCGCATCAGAATCACCCACGCAAAGACTGTTTCCATAAGCATATGCTTACCCAAACATACATTACACTTAAATGATCAGAAACAATTGACATAGCGCCAAGAATGCAGAAGTCATAGGCAAAATTCACTTCACTTTCACTGGCTGGTTGCCTCAGTTTCCACTCCTGCAAAATAGGGATGACTAATATTTGTCAATGCTGCTTGAGAAGGGTATATCATAAAGCACAACAAATAAATCTCTGGTTAGCACCTTGCCCTAATGCCTTGGGGGGCAGTGCTCAAGCACCTCACATCTCTTGTTGACCACAACACTCATCCCACAGTGTGAGAGACTCCTGCGCATCACTCACATCCCCCATAATCTATTCTGTGGGGGGCTCATGGTGTGTGGACACTCAGCAGCAGGCCCCGGGGTGCAGACCCTGCCCTGGGCACGGAGGCCTCCAGAAGTCTTTTCTACACAAAGTGTGACAGGGTAGCCCAGAGTGGACTGGGTCGCCTGTCTGTGGGGCCTCACCTGCGTGCTCACAATTCAGTTATACTGCAGGTACATGCAAAAGGGTCAATAACGGGTTTATTTACAAAAGGGGAAAGGAATAGGAAACAACCCAGGGAAAGAGAGCAGGATACAAAGTAACTGGAATACCTTAACAGCTAGGCTGACTGAACACACCGAGTCACACGGTCCAGAGAGCCGTTTCACGAGCGAGAGAGTGAGAGATGCAATCACACCCTATTTATCCCCCCAAATGTCCCAGAATTCCTGCTAGCTCCTCCCTTGGGTCCTCGCAGTTTTCTCCCTAGTGCTGCTGGGAATTGTAGTTTCCAATCACTGGAGTAGTGGGTAGAGTCCAGAAAGCTGGAGTAGGGGCTGGGGTCCACAGGACTCTGCAGAGTTCCCTTACGACATCCTTTCCTTTAACAAAAGAACACAGCAAAGCCAGCCTGAAAGTGTAGGGGTAGGAAGCACTTAGAAGTGGAACCCAGGCTTCTGCTTGGTACAGCTACAGATAGGCACAGACGTGTCAGGTATCAGCTGGAAGTGCTAAGGAATGCTGAGGAGAGGCCAAGAGAAACTTTCTGGAAAGCAGCTGGGAGCAGACATCCTCAAGGTCAACCCCATGCATTACTTCATGGACACAGTTTGGATTCAACCAAGACTATAGAAAGTGAGATTATCTGCCTTGATTTTGTACTTTCCCTCATTCTGTTGGTGAAAGAAAAAAGAATGTGGATTGGAGGGATTTTGTGTAGTTTTCTGTTCATAAAGAGAGTGTTAGCTTTTCAATTCCTTCTTCCTGTCCTGATGTTGGAAGACTATTTGCTGTTTTATTCACCTTTTGACATATTTTACTAATACATCACCAGTAATCAAGTCAATGAATCCTGTAAGTAAATACTTAGTCCTTAGGCCAATATACCTAGCTGTGTGCCTCTGGTAGCATCAGTACACAACACACAATGAGAAATAGATGGTAACATGTTTTTCTGCCTGGTCTTAAACTCAGTGACCTGCCAGCATCCTTTTAGGGACACCAACTCTGGGTGGTGTGGGCACTTTCAGAATGAGATGTGATCCTTGCCCCCAAAAAGGCTATAACTTAGATTGGGGATATTCAACCTATGCAGTTTAAGTAAAGACTATTCATGGCAACAAGTGCTGAATTCCATTATCCAAATCACAAAGTATTATTTTTTCCTGGCTAGAAAAAACAGTGTAGGTCTTTACACAGACCAACCATAGACTAGACATCCTTGTTTTTCTCATTTGATACTAGGAACCAAGGTACATGATGTAAATTATTTCCTTTCCAGAGGATCCAAAGTCTTTCTGGAGGGAGGGTTCCTCCCTGGGGCAATGAGATAATCCCATTTACTCAGGCAGGGTGTCCCCCTTCTGCACCTGCCTCTCCTCCCCAGGGATTTCAGGGAAATGTAGTAAATTTCAAATAGTAAAGAAAGCTGCAGAAGGAGAAAAGAAATTAAGAAAAGGGTAAGATTTCTTCCTGAAAAATGACAGGACCAGTACTTTACTCTTACCCTACATATAATGCAATCAAAATTCTTGTAATGAAGCATAATAGAAGGAAAAAATTTCTAGAAATACAAAAGAAATGGAAAAGTTTATAGGCTTTTATTTCCTTTGGCTTCTCAAAGATACAGTTTTTCTCAGGTAGAATAATGGGTTTACTCCGGGGTCTGAGCGCTCGCTGCGACATGTGGCCAGGACGGGGCTTTGCAGAGTGAGGCGCTTCTCCTGCGGCCCACAGATCTGAACAGTAAGTCATCTGGAATATGTTGTCTTATTGAGCAAACACTATCCTTTGCAATTATAAAGTGATGTAATTGTATTGTGTTTGGCATTATTGGGGCCGGACAAATGCTTGTTGTTGTTTCAGAGGATAACCAAAGATGAGCATTCAACATAACTCTAGTTTCAGAAGAAAAATAAAAGGTGAGGTAAGGTTAAATAGCTACAGACATTTAAATTTCTTGCATAAAAGGCTTTTCATTCTTATCACTAGCTACA